ATAATCAAATTAATAAAACCCCATCTAGGAAATCAGCACGAGATTATATTACTAATGTTGTTCTATTTAACTTGAAGCATTGTTTGGAAAATAAAATACAAGGAATGTTTATTTGTGAAAAAAAAAGAAGAAGAAAACACTAACAAACATTGAAATAACGTTCAGGTCTCCTGTTGCATCTCATTATATTGTTACCTGGCAATTGAACTGCTAACAATCCAATACTACATGTGTATTTGCTGGTATTATTAACTGATTGGGAAAATAATTCTTTTACATGGAACAATGAATCCCAATCCAGCAGTGAAAAAACAAACTAATTTCAAACAGGGTTGTTGACAAGATTACTTATACTGAAGGTTTTCCTTAGTCTTTTGTTGTTTTATCGTATTGATATTTTCACTGAATAACTCATAAAACCAAAATTAAGAAGAATAATTATTTTTATTTCTTGCTTTTGAAGTCATACTGTGTTGTAGCCTACAGAGTGCACAATTCTTCCAGTGATTCATGAGCACATTTTACTGACATCACGATAGTACAAATTATAAAGTTAAGCATCCCTTATTTGATGTCATTTCGGTGTCTACTGACTGACTGACAGACAACACACTACTTTAAAGTAGTGAGAATGATTAAAACAGGTGATCTTCGGCCCCCTTCTGGGTAAATTATTCAACATTCCATTAAATAATGGTCTCAATACAAGTTCCTCTCTGCAATGTGCACACTTTATGACATACTTCTTACGTGAAAAGTTTTTTTTTCAAGTTTCAGTCTGAAATGCTCAACAGAGTTGTTTGCTAATCTACACTGTGGAAGAGACTGATTTTTAAAACATGATCTACGTGCACATTACTTGCTACAGAAAACACGGCTATAAATTTTCATAATCACGTGAACAATCTTTTTTTTATCAGGCCATTTCAGATTGACACAAATAAAAACAATAAGAATGAATAATGAAATATCTTCTAGGTCATTTAACGTTTTAACTGACGATAAGGATGTATATTGTTTGCCACACACAATTACATCTAGTTTACTTCTTTAATGTATTTTTCATAAATAAACTTCATGTAAACTCGTTGTCACAGACAGTACAACAATGGGGTTCTTCCTCAGTGTAAATCTTCCACATTTGTTTTTTTTTAAAGAAAACATTCTGTTGTAAGCTCTTTACCACAAATAATACATCTATGTTGTTTATCTCTAGTGTGGCTGACTTGATGTTTTTTTAATGATTATCTCTAACAAAATTCCTCGCCAGAGATATTACAACAATACAGCTCCTCCTTTGTGTGTATCTTCTGATGTGTTTTTACAGAATATTTACTTATAAATGTTTTGACACACACAACAAATACATGGTTTTTCTGCACTGTGCATAACTTGGTTTACCTTTAAAGATAAACACTGTGTAAATTCCTTGCCACGGATGTTACAAAAATATAGTTTCTCTCGAGTATGGGTATTTTCATGTCATTTTAAAATAATAGCTATATGTAAAATTGTTTCCCCAAAAACATCAAAATTGTAGAGCTTCCCCTCTAAGTGAATTCACTGATGTTGTTTCAAGTTCTCACACCTTGTACAATTTCTTTCATGAGCATGACAAGTGTATAGTTTTATTCCAGTGTGTCCCACTGATCATGTTTCAAGTTTTCACACCTTCTAAAATTCCTTTCACGAGCATGACAAGTGTATAGTTTTATTCCAGTGTGTCCCACTGATCTTGTTTCAAGTTTTCACACCTTCTAAAATTCCTTTCACACGCATGACAAGTGTATAGTTTTATTCCAGTGTGTCCCACTGATCATGTTTCAAGTTTTCACACCTTCTAAAATTCCTTTCACAAGCATGACAAGTGTATAGTTTTATTCCAGTGTGTCCCACTGATCATGTTTCAAGTTTTCACACCTTCTAAAATTCCTTTCACGAGCATAACAAGTGTATAGTTTTATTTCAGTGTGTCCCACTAATCTTGTTTTAAGTCCTGCTTTCTATGAATTTCATGCTATAGATATGAATGTAGTCTCCACTGACATTGTCTTAAATCAAGCTTTAGTATGAATCCATTGCTAGAAATATGGTATGTACATGGCTTCATACTTGTGTGTCTCAACTGATGTGAAGTCCTGCTGTAGTATGAATCCCTTGCTACAGACATGATATGTATATGGTTTCACTCCAGAGTCTCCACTGATTGTTTTATGTTCTTATATACTATGAATCCCTTGCTACAGACATGATATGTATATGATTTCACTCCAGAGTCTCCACTGATTGTTTTATGTTCTTATATACTTTGAATCCCTTGCTACAGACATGATATGTATATGGTTTCAAATCCAGAGTCTCCACTGATTGTTTTATGTTCTTATATACTATGAATCCCTTGCTACAGACATGATATGTATATGGTTTCACTCCAGAGTCTCCACTGATTGATTTACGTTCTTATATACTATAAATCCCTTGCTACAGAAATGATGCTTCATACTACTGTTTATCAACTGATGTTGATTTAAGTTCTACTTTTTATAAATAATTTACCACGCACTTCATAGCTGTAAGATTTATTTCTTTTTGTGGTGTTTGGAACTCTGTTAAGAGTTATAATCGTCTAGTTGGTGTTCATACTGGATCTTTCAACTTTCTTCTAAAACTTCATACAGTACTGTTTTCTGACAAAAAAGTTACCTCTATGCTGTGCTGTCTTCATTGTGATTCCTCTCATACTTTATTAGATGTTCTTCCTGAAAAAGGATTTCTCCAGACACACACATCACACCTGTACATGGACTTGACTTTTCAGGGGTAAGGTAAAACAACCTTTTAGAATTAAATTAATATAAACAATTATAATCATTACTAATTAGCTTGGTAACTCCCACAAATGTACTTTTAAATGCATTACAACATTAAAAAAAGCTATTATTACAATACATTAATAATGAAAAAATATATATCCTCATACTGAATTACAAACACATGAAGAAAAATGTTGTTTCACATTTGTTCTTGTTATGCTCAGGACTTGAGTTGAGGGGGGGAGTGATCCGGAGCACCATTTCTGTTGTACGAAATTGTTGTGAAAATGCTTTTTTATGAAAAGATAAGTTATCATAATCTTACTAATTCATATTGTTTATGCAGGCCTACTTCATCGTATCTCAAACCCTAAAGCTTCCAGGGGCCATTAACAGCCCCCAAACCCCCTACCTCATAGGGGCTGTGAGACTGAGCTCCACTTGATAACTTATGCTCAATGATACTTTTAAAGTATTTTTGACAAGGAAATACAGCAAGAATAAGGTGGTTATGAAGTCAGTATGGGTATACAAGGTGAAGGTGTAACAAACTGGCAAAATATTTTGCATAAGAAATCATGGGAAGTGCATTCCACTGGTTTCTGGAAATGACAGATATATAAACATAGGAAGAAACAGACAACTGTTACTCTGTCAGAAGCAGCAGAAGGTACAACACAGTGTTATGTCTGGAACAAATTATCATGTTAGTGGAGGTGTATAAGTGAAATGGCTTAAATGCTTAGCCAGTACTCATGAAAAACCATTGAAACACACAACTGTTTCTGTCAGTAGATTGGTTAAAAGTTTTTCAATAACTATTTTCACTGTGTCAAATTTCTCCACTGCTGACTACGAGAATTTCTCAAAATATGGGCCTATTGCCACATCCCAGCAACTATTCCTCAACTGATGGATGCCACTGTGACAAAGGTTTGGGCAATTCTAGCATTAAATAGTATGAATAACTGTTTCATTCTCCAACTGCTTGAAGTATGCTACAGTTGAACAGACATGCTGTGGAAGCAGCTTTTGTACATGTGAATTGTGTCACTTTCCCTAAGAAGATTCATTTTCACGTAGTTTGTTACTGTTTCCTGAGACACGTAGATGGCTTTTGCCATAGATCGTTGATGGTTTGTCTTTATGAATTTTCTCCTGTTAAAAGGTGTCTCATTTTGATTACCATGGCTATGGTATGACTTGTTGCTGGTATCGTCCTGTTTCCCCAAATTGTTCTATTTTTCCTTCCAATTCCATTAAGTAGAAGAGATATCTCTATCTTGAAAATACTAAGCCCTGTACGATCTGTGTGTATGAATATTTTGCATTGGAAAAAGAGTGTAACTTACCTTTTCCAAAAGCAACCAATTTTTGGTTGCATCACACTACCTCTGTAACTCCAAAAAATGTCCAAGTATAATTTAGATATTCTATTCTACCATGACTGTATACTGACAATGGTTGTCACGCAACTTGCTGACTTGTATATTCAAAATAGATTTAATACAATGTACTCAATCCTCTATATACTGAAGGTTATTTTTAGTTTTTTTGTGATTTTAGTATACTAAAACAGTCGTAAATAACCTGAGACTTCAATATGGTTTGTAAAAAGTTGAAAATATAAGAAAATTATAAATAACACCAACTGATCAAATTTTCTCCAGGGTAAATTAAAAGTTTTAAAAGCCTTGAATGGCAATGTTTATATAAGTTTTGTTTTACACATGTACATGATTCGTTGAAAGTAAATCTAATTTAAAAACAGATGCATCAAGTGAGAATTTTATGTAAGTAAATGTTGTCATCAACAAGCATATTTGTTTTTAACTTGCTCTGTTCTAAACAACAGAAACTATAAAAGTTTGGAGATGTCCTGAATGGCTAAAGAAAACTTTATTATACATGGACAACATTTTAACAAAATTTTCTCGAAATGTTATATTTATATTTTCATGTGGCATGAAGTAATTTTGTGTTTGAAAGTTTTCTTCACAAGTTTCGGAGCTTATGGTCTTTTAAACACAATATATATAAACTTTGATAGGTTGTTTAGGCAGAGTGTTCATAATGAATCTAAATTTCAAATGGACAGCAACTGCCTGTTGTAGAAACCTACAAATGTAGAGGACAACGTTTCAAAAGTCTTTGAAAGGCGGAAGACTTACGAAACATCGTCCTCTACATTTGTAGGTTACTACAATGGCCAGTTGCTGTCCATTTGAAACTTAGATTCACAATATGTATATATTGTTTTAGGCTTTAGCTTTATGCAAATATATTCAAATGAGCTTTCGACAATTAATAACCACTGCAAAATTCACAATTTTGTTTTACACGTGATCTGAGTGTAAATTTTTTATCAATCTGCAGATATATATATATTTTCTAAACACATTTCAAGCCATTTTAATTTTCAAATCATTTGTTGTAAATATCACAAATATCAGTTTTTTTCATTTTAATATAGTTGTTTATGTAAAACGTTTTGGCACACACAACCCAGATAAACAGTATACATTGCCTGCACATGAATTCATGTTGTTGTTTTTTTGTAATTGAATACCTGGGTGTACATTTTTTGCCACAAAGTTTACAATAATATAGTTTACCTCAACTAAGAATTATCTAATGTTTTTCTAGTTTTAGCCTTCTAAAGATTTCTTCACACATAACATGTTTTTATCACTGTGCATAATTTGATGTTTTTCTACAGATGAACTCTGTGCAAATTCTTTGCCACAGACATTACAACAATATAGTTTTTTCCCATTATGAATCTTCTCATGTCTCTTCAAGGAAAATTTTCTAGTAAAATCTTTGCCACAAACACTACAACTGTATGGTTTTTTTCCACTGTGACTAACTTGATGTATTTTTAGAGACGAACTTCTTGTAAATTCCTTGCCACAAACATCACAACTATATGGTTTTTCTCCAGTATGGATAACCTCATGTTCCTCTAAGTATTTTTCTCTTCCAAACGTTTTTCCACACACAACACAACTGAATGGTTTTTCTCCGGTGTGGGTTATCTGATGTCTTTTTAAAGATGAGCCTTGTGCAAACTCCTTACCACAGATATCACAGCTGTATAGTTTTTCACCGGTATGGATCCACTGATGTTGTTTTAAATTCTTCTTAGTTGTAAGATCCTTGCTACATACCCGACAAGTGTATGGTTTCACCCCAGTGTGTCTCCATTGATGTTGTTTTAAGTTTTGTCTTGCTGTGAATCCCTTTCCACAGACACTACAAGTATATGGTTTCATTCCATTATGTGAGGACTGATGCTGTTTTAATTTATACCTCGTTGCAAATATTTTACCACATACACCACAGCTGGAATACATCTTTTCTTTTTGTATTGTTTCGTCAGTTTGGAACTCAGTATTATACATACAACTTTTAGCAGAAGCTTTGTAATTGTTTATTTGGTGTTCAGACTGGGTCTTCTGATTTTCTTCAAAGTTTTTATACACTGCTGTTTCCTGACAGACATCAAACTTACCTTTTGTTTTCCTACTCCAAGAACTCTCTTTTGAGTTACTTCCATAGGCTAAGATATCCTCACTGAGTTTTCTTTCATGCTTTATTAGGTGTTCATTCTGGTTATTGCTTTCTCTACACACATCAAACCTATACAAGGATTTACACATGTTACCTGAAGTTTCAGTTTCTCTGTCTTCTTCACATCCACAGGAAGCTTCTCGTGTAGAAATAAAATAAGAGCAGAATTACTTCCCAATCTTTGTTTAGACAAATGCTTGCAACTACATAAAAAAAAACTAACCTAACCAATTCTAATCATTTATAGTTAGCTTGGTAACTTCTTGAATACACATTTAGATGCTCAAATGCAACAAAATATTGCAAAATCCATAATAAAATTAATCCGAACAAAACATACATATTCACATTAAACTAAATTTGAAATTCAACAATAGTGAGGTTTTTCAGTTTTATTATTTTATATTCACTGTAGTAATTGAAAAGTAGTTTTGATAAAGGAAACAGAGCAAATACAGAGCATTTATAAAGTCAGTATGGATATATGGAACAGTCATTAAGGTAAAAAAGGTAATATATTAACAAATAATTTTGTGTAGATTAATAACAATCAATAGAAATGTATTCCACTGTTAACTGAAAATGGCACTAAGTATACAAGCACATGGTGAAATTAATAATTGCTATTCTGTTGCTATAAGTAGAAGTTACGTCATTATGCTTTGCTGCAATGTTAGCGCAGCCCTCCAGAAAAATAACTGCAAGATCAATACAATATATTAATCATATGCAAATGTTGTTGTCAGCAGACTAATTATAAAAATTCTACAACCACTTCCTTCATGATGAGTAAACTGGAATGGACTGTTGTAAAAAAACACAAGTGTATGGAACAACATTTCGAAAGCCTTCCATCTTTTATCTGGACCCCCACCGTTCAATCTGTCCAAGTAAAAATACATAAAAATTAGTAAAATTACTCTTGGTAAAAGCAGGAGAATGCATAAAATTTAATTTAAAACCAAAGAGCTTCCAGGCCCCTAAGGTGAGCTGTAATTGGTGCATCTGTGGCATACATTCCTTTGCTTCACTCAGTCAAATAAACTTTGGCCTCCAATTTTTCATTTGCCTCATACACCTTTGTAATGCAATTTCTAATATTGTTGACAGGATGGATGGAACAGTCCAAAATGATGGTGACAACACTGAAAAATTGTCATAATGGTGTTCCCCTTTCTAGAAATGTATGGAATGTAGTGCTCCTGAGTTTTTTAAGCATGTATTCAAAGCCTTTCACCCATATGTTAAATTATACATACTAAATAATGTTTCTTTTGGCCATACTTACTTTATAGCTAATCTGTAGGTTAACTTGAGAGCCTAAAAAGCATTTAATGCCATGATTACATGTGTCATCAGATGTATAGAAGCAACTGTATAATGATGGCACCAAAATTAGCAACCTAAAGTGGACAATATTAGAAATCATGTAAAAAATGTTTATGGTAAAGTAGATGGCAGAAACCAATGTCCAAGAAGAGAGAGATTCAATGTTGGCAGAATTTATTGAGTAAAACTTTAAAATATCATTAACAAAAGCCCATTGATCAAAGAAAACCTGAAAATACAAATTTAAAACTTTTCAAAAAGGAAGGAAATGTAGGGATGGCTAATATCAATCCTTCAAAAACAATGTAAACAAGATAGTAGGAATGGCATTTGCATCATTCCAACATAATAGCACAGGCAAGAATTGACATATAGCAATATGTATATATTTAACACTTCAATCATAATTTAGTTTAATTTATCTTATTTTTGTCTGTTAACAGTCTACCGCACTGTGTGCCTGTGCTATTATGTAGGGATGATGCTTGCACTTTTTTTTAATGCAGTGTTTCAATAGACACAGGAAGGTTGTATTTATAATCAAGTTCTAAATACAACAAGGTTCAATCTCTAATATTTATTGTTTATTTATTATTGCCTGGTAATTCCTGTGTGCTTATTGCTTGCTTTAGGCATAATTCCAAAGCCTACAACAGACTTATCCTGAGTAGAAAGTAGTTCCCATTTACAACAGAAAAATATATTTTCAGAGTTTAAAGAAACTAAATCCAGCTGTTAATATCAAATAAAATGTAACAATTTCAATCGTCACAGCTGATTTCTGTAGTTTTCTAAAAATCTAGATCCAGACAAAAAAAATAACTTATTTATACAAAATCTTATAATTTTAGAGAGAGAGTATTTACTTAGCATTGCTTGATGGGTAATATAAAATCACTTGAATCTACTAAGCATAAATATAAACATGCGGGTTAGTATTGTCATATGCAAACTTCTTAAATACTGGAATTATTGTTACAAATATTAGGATTATTATCAAAGAAACTTTTTCAAATCAGTTAAAGTACTGGTTCACCTACCAATAGGTACAGCAAATGTAAAATACAGACATGATGGTAGAAGAAAGTTGATTTTCCAAATATGACAATACAGATGTTTGGGTCTATTCACGTAGTATTTTTAAAGATAATATGAAACTTTATTTCAGTAGATGACTAAAGGAATTTATTGTGTCACATGTAAAATACCAACCATTTACAAAAACCTTTTTTTTTCTCACAATTATGAAATAAGATCCAGATCCTGTGAATACTACTACTACTACCTTGTACTCGTATATCACTGACAACAATCACTGTTACAAATATATGCCTACCAACATTTTATCTGATGGTCATTAGTTAAGGTGTCTGAAATCTGAGACTTCATTCAAGAAATTAGACTCGGACCTAATAATCAACATCATTCTCTTCACTCAAGTACAAAAAGCAAAATAAGCTTTAGGGTTAACTCTGCACTACTATTAGTTAATAATAAAGAGAAACATATTCAAAAACTTATTTTCCTACTAAGAATAATACAATAATCACTGAAGAAACATTTCATTTTCTAATAATACTATCAGGCCTTCAATGATTTATATACAAATTTTGTTCTGAATACAACCTTTGGTGTACTTGTTACTGTAAATTGATAAGACTGAGAATAATAACTTGTAAACTATTAATAATACTACAAGCAATTAATGAAAATAAAATGATTATGTACATAAATTGACTAGCAAAGTAATGTGCATCTGTTTGTAATTAAGATTAAGCGCAAAGCTACACAATGGGTTATCTGTGCTCTGTCCACCACTGGTATCAAAACCCGGATTCTAGCATTGTAAGTTCGCAGACATACTGCTGTGCCACTGGGGAGCATCTACTTGTACTCAGCAATAAATTAAAGATGGAGTAAGTTTTAATTTGAAATAGGTTATGGAACAAGTATAGTTTTGTGGTCACCCATTGCACTTTTTCTGGCGGTATGTTCCTCTGGGCTCTCCAATGCATTTCTTCCACCCTTTTTCCAGTGGAGTACAGGAGTCCATACCACTTCCCAATCACTAGCTGCTGGGGTGATGGAGTGTGCACATCACAGCTGTATAGTTTTTCACCGGTATGAATCCACTGATGTTGTTTCAAGTTCTTGTCTGTTGTAAACTCTTTGCAACATATCAGACAACAGTATGGCTTTTCTCCAGTGTGAATTCTCTAATGCTGTGTTAGGTTATATTCCAATGTGAATCCTCTGATGCTGTGTTATGTTATATTCCATTGTGAATCTTCTGATGCTGTGTTATGTTATATTCCAGTGTGAATCTTCTGATGCTGTGTTAGGTTATATTCCAGTGTGAATCCTCTGATGCTGTGTTAGGTTATATTCCAGTGTGAATCCTCTGATGCTGTGTTAGGTTATATTCTAGTGTGAATCCTCTGATGCTGTGTTATGTTATATTCCATTGTGAATCTTCTGATGCTGTGTTAGGTTATATTCCAGTGTGAATCCTCTGATGCTGTGTTATGTTATATTCCAGTGTGAATCCTCTGATGCTGTGTTAGGTTATATTCCAGTGTGAATCCTCTGATGCTCTGTTAGGTTATATTCCAGTGTGAATCCTCTGATGCTGTGTTAGGTTATATTCCAGTGTGAATCCTCTGATGCTGTGTTAGGTTATATTCCATTGTGAATCTTCTGATGCTGTGTTAGGTTATATTCCAGTGTGAATCCTCTGATGCTGTGTCAGGTTATATTCCAGTGTGAATCTTCTAATTCTGTGTTAGGTTATATTCCAGTGTGAATCATCTGATGCTGTGTTAGGTTATATTCCATTGTGAATCCTC